TATCTTATTCTATTAATTAATATGAACAACTTTTGCCTGAAACATTTTTTGATTTGCCTAATACTTTTCGAGATATCATAAGCTAAACATTGAAAAAGTTATAAATTTTGCTCTTCAATATCTCGAAAAGTATTAGGCAAATGAATAAATGTTTCAGATAACAGTTGTTCATATTAATTAGTAGAATAAGATGGTATAATTAACAGTATGCTGTTCCATTAAAAAATTGAAAGTGACCTTCACGTGACCTTCAAATGACTATTCAAGGTCAAGTCAATGGTATCACCTTATATCCCCTTCCGAACCAAACAACTTTTGTTTGAAACATCTTTCCGTATCTTTTATATTTTTGGAGATAATTGCGTGGATCATTTAAAATGAGACACCCTGTATAATAAAATTCTAAGAATCTTCCACCATTTCCGAGAAGTAGATTTCCCAGAATTTTCAAATTCAAATCGCGAAATTCGAGAATCGAAAAAATGGCAAAGTATCAGGAGAACATGATCAGCAAAGAGGTGGCACTATCTGAAATTCCAAGAATTGGATTTCCGTGAATTTCCACATTCAAATCGCGAAAATCGAGAATTTTTCCTTTACCTAAATTTTCTCCCAAGCATAGTTTTTAAATTATAAAAAGAAATAGTTACGACATATTTTTTACTGCCACGGTGCAACGCGCAGAGTTTACTTCTTGCGGTAGTAAACTGTGTGTTTTGGTCCAAATGCTATGAAAAGTAAAGCCTCGTTTACATAGAAGTCGTAATGTCGTAGTCGTAAGATAGTCGACTGCGATTGGTCAATTCTTATGTGTCTGACGGAATTTAACAATCGCAGTCGTAGTCGTAGTCGTAATCGTAGTCGTAATCGTAGTCGTAATCGTAGTCGTAATCGTAGTCGTAGTCGTAGTCGTAAGAATAATCGACTGCGATTGGTCAATTCAAATCCGCGCTGTTTACACGAGCGTCGCCGCCATATGTGATGACTACCTTTTCCCCTCACTGCTCTGGCTTCAACCCCGCTAACTTATAGCGTTTTCGATTTTCTGACTCGACCCGACTGGACCCGACCCCGAGTCAGAAAAGTTTAATCAAAAGCAAGATTTGAACCACAATTTCTGCAAAAATCTTACTTTTGATCAAACTTTTCTGACTCGGAGTCGGATCGAGTCAGCAAATCGAAAACGCTATTAAGCCCGCTGCAGACGATGCTATTTTTCCTGCTGGATTGCTTGCAATTTAGTAAATTACTAGGAATCCTGAATGCTGAGTGGTGCAATGATAGTAATTTACTAAATCGCAAGCAATCCAGCAGGAAAAATAGCATCGTCTGCAGCGGGCTTTACACTCCGTCCATATAGTGGCTGCGTTCAGCAGAAGTCAGCGCTTAATAAGCGCTTTATACTGATTGGATAGATCTAGGCCCGGTTTCACCAACGCGAGTTATCGGTCGGTAACTTAACAGGGTGCCAACATAAAACTTCTTTATTAACCTATTTTCTTGGTATCAGTTTTATGTTTGGCTGTTGGCACCCTGTTAAGTTAACCGACCGATTAGGGGTCTGTTCTTTATTGCTGCACTCCTGAACTAGTGCACACTGGTGCAATGAGTTGGAATGAGGGTGCCGTCCCATGGCGCGTATCGCGATACGCGCGTATCAGGCGTATCGAACTCTACGACCAATCACAGACAATCCGCTGTTTTTCGTACGCCGGAGTTTGGCCCCTACTGTCCCATGGAGCGGATTACGCGGAAGCGGACCAGCGGATCGCCAATCACGGAATCTTTCTGATAGAGCCCTTTCAAGATTCCGTTGAAACGGATCCGTGGATTGGCGATCCGCTGGTTACGCTTCCGCTTAATACGCTCCATGGGACAGTAGGGGCCTCCGGCGTACTGAACACACGCACACACACACGCATGCACTTAAAAAGTGAAGTCTTCACAAGCCAGTTGTTTATAACCTCATACCAGTTACGACATTACGAGTTCATTTAAGCTACGGTAAGCATGATAGTTAAGTTTCAAGCTCTATCCCGATAAAAACAGCACGTGAAATCCACGTTATTGCTACGTGAAATCCACTGTTACTGTGTGTTTGCTGGGCTTACTTATCAATATGGCACCAGTAGCGCGATTCTGTAACTCGTTATGTCGTCGTTACGGGCTTTGCGCAGATCTAATATACCGTAGAAAAGCTGCGCAAAGCCCGTAACGACGACATAACGAGTTACAGAATCGCGCTACTGAACCCAAGAAGGAGGGCTCTCGACCCACACGTACGTTACGATGTACATGTGTGAGTGTGCGATCCGCTCGAATATTGTTCAGCGGATTGTTGAGCGTATCAAAAACGGCGGATCGTCCGTGATTGGTCGACGAGTTGATACGCCCGATACGCGCGTATCGCGATACGCGCCATGGGACGGCACCCTGACAGGTAATCTATTTGTTTCATTTTAACTTATTGCACTAGTTCAGTAGTGCAGTAATAAAGAACAGGCCTCTGGTGTGCACAAATCTATTGTAAATCCGGCCTTAAGTTCTCCTCCTATGTAAATATACCTTAAGGCCGTCCATATCGGCTTTAAAAACACCTTAAAAGTTTCCCGCCGAAAGTGGTTTCGGCGACGTGATATGTCGGTATCGGTTGGTTTACATTTGCCTGGTAATTTAAACAGAAAGAAGTAGCCGGCTTGCTCGCGCGAAATGGAGGGCTTTGACGATCCTGGCGTGTTCTTCTCCGACAATTTCGCGGTGGATGAGGTTCACGAGAACCGCGTGAATCTCCAACATTCCAAGAGAAAATTCAAGGAGTTTATCCGACAGTTTCACGAGGGTAACTTCAACTACAAGTACCGGTAAGAAACGACGATGCTCCTCGCACTCCCCTCGTCGATTTTGTCCGCTAAGAATCAGTACTGTTTTTAACTTCCTCAGAGATACCTTAAAACGCAACTACAACCTCGGTCAGTACTGGCTGGAGATCAATCTCGAGGATTTAGCCGCTTTCGACGAGTCGCTCGCGGAGAAGATCCAAAAGCTCCCGACGGAGTACTTATCTGTTCTCGAGGAGGCCGCGAAGGATGTCGCAGACGAGCTTACGGCTCCGCGACCCGAGGGCGAGGAGAAGATGGAAGACATTCAGGTGTTGCTATGCTCGGACGCTCATCCAAGCTCTCTGAGGGGAATGAAGGTGATACCATAATTTCTTACAATAGTCGAGAAACGTGTTTACAGTTGACGAGTTGTAGGGTTTGCGGCAAATTTCACTACTATAGATTTATAGGATGCGAAATTCTTTGTACATCCGAATTTATTCGTCATTCTAAATCTAAGCGAGTAAATCTATGTCAAGACACAAAGCATTTGGACGTAAGATCAAACGTAATTGTTTCACTGTTGCAGCCAGATATTGTTTCCAAGTTGGTCAAAGTTCCTGGTATAATTGTTTCTGCGTCTGGCATTAGATCGAAAGCGACGAAAATTGCGATACAGTGTCGCTCTTGCAAAGTCACTCAAGTTAATATCGCCATCAAGCCTGGTCTGGAGGGATACGCGCTACCCAGAAAGTGCACCACGTAAGCCTCCCCTTTGCAAATACTTTATTGTCTCTTTTATACTGTATCGCGCGAATAATTTTCGTTTCTTCATTAGAGAACAAGCCGGCCGTCCGAAATGCCCCCTGGATCCTTTCTTTATAATGCCGGATAAATGCCACTGCGTAGACTTTCAGGTGTTGAAGGTTCAGGAGCTGCCGGATCACATACCGCAGGGCGAGATGCCCAGGCACTTGCAGCTGTATTGCGATCGATATCTGTGCGACAGAGTCGTACCTGGCAATAGAGTTCTGATACTCGGGATATATTCCATCAAGAAGGTGTCCAAGACTGGTGGCAAAGGTGCAGGCAAGGAGAAGACGCTAATAGGTGTTCGAGCTCCATATATTCGTGTTCTTGGTATCTCTGTGGATGGAGAAAATACCAACATAGGTATTGGAGCATGATGATGCAAAAATACAGGGCGTCTACCACCGGGAAAACCTGGAATTCTCAAGCAATTCTTATTTGCTCTGGAAAATCACGAGATTTTTGTTGAAATCTATTTTGTATTCCGTGAGCGATCGAAGGTTAAAACTTATAAATATGTTTGGGGAGCGGTAACTAATGCTCCAAGCATTGCCACTTTTAAAGAAGCCCGCGCTAATCATATAGGAAATTGGATCTCGGTGAAATTGGCTAGTTTTCACATATGTTGTAGCTTATGACCTGCTGAACAAAAAATGTAATGGGCTCGAACTTAAATAATGGCTAGTTACTGGGCTACAGCCAGTCAAACATGGAAAATTTGGGCTCCGCGGATCTTGTTTGGAAATACTTTGTGAAGCATATTAGGAAAAAATGTTTCAGACAAAAGTTGTTTGGTTCGAAGGGAGACATAAGACGATGCCATTAATTTGATAATCATTTGATGGTCACACGAAGGTCAATTTCAATTTCTTAAATGGACACCCCCTTTTTCATTGCACATTTTTATGTCAAGAGTTTCTCAAAGACACTATATAATGAAATATAGTCTTATTTCGAACCAAACAATGTTTGTCTGAAACATTTCTTCCTAATATTATTAATAATATTAATAAATAATATTAATAAATTTTCCATGTTTGGCTGTAGCTCAGTAACTAGCCATTATTTAAGTTTGAGCCCATTATATTTTTGTTTAGCAGGTCATAAGCTACAACATTTGTGAAAGCTAGCCAATTTAACCGAGATCCAATTTCCTATATGATTAGTGCAGGGTTCTTTTATTTTCGTGTGTTTCTTTGAAGTGAGAAATGAAAAATGTTTTAACCGTTTCTCTTGTTTGAAAATTGTTATATAACTTTTAATTTTCTCTTTACGATTGTGTAAACAGGATGCATACGTGACGAAGAATAACCCTGATAATTAAATTTGCACTGAAAACTATTATAATTTTGCCCGGAAGTTTCAGCCAGAATCCTTTTAAAAATCAAGGAATTTGTTTGGAGAAATGAGTAGACACCCTGAAAACTGAGACATGCTGAAAAAAATATCAACTAGCAATCTACTTATGTCTTTCTGTGTTTTCTACGTAGGAACTCAACCGCCCGTTACATCCGAAGAGGAGGACCTTTTCACTCGGTTAGCGGCGGATCCTAATCTCTACGAGAGAATTGCAAAGAGCATAGCTCCCAGTATTTTCGGCGCAACAGACATCAAGAAGGCTATCGCGTGTTTACTGTTTGGCGGCTCGAGAAAACTAATGCCGGATGGGTTGTGCAGGAGAGGCGACATTAATATCTTAATGCTGGGCGATCCGGGTACTGCCAAGTCGCAGTTGCTGAAATTCGTAGAGAGAGTCGCCCCGATAGCCGTTTACACATCGGGAAAAGGCAGTTCCGCAGCCGGTCTGACAGCATCCGTGTCAAGAGATCCAGCGACCGTAAGCCGCATCCTCGTTTCTTTCTGTTGCGATTTTATAATTAATTTAAATAAGTAATTTAAATGCTTTAGAGGAATTTTGTCATGGAAGGCGGCGCGATGGTACTCGCGGACGGCGGAGTCGTTTGTATCGACGAATTCGATAAGATGAAGGAGGACGATCGAGTGGCGATACACGAAGCTATGGAGCAGCAAACGATCTCTATAGCGAAGGCGGGGATAACGACGACTCTGAATACGCGGTGCTCTGTGTTGGCGGCGGCGAACTCGGTTTTCGGCCGCTGGGACGATATAAAGGGGGAAGAGAATATAGATTTTATGCCGACAATCTTGTCGCGCTTCGACATGATATTTATTGTTAAAGATGAGCACGAACACAACAGGGACGTAACTCTAGCTAAGCACGTTATGAACATTCACTGTAACGCCGGCCAGATCACCGAACAATCGGTGGAGGGAGAAATTCCTGTGCACATCCTTAGAAAGTACATCAACTATTGTAGAACGTAAGTTCGCCGTGTCTTATTGCGCAGTGTACATCTCGTAAAATACAACGTGCCTCTCTTTTGTTTATATTGTAGGCGTTGCGGTCCAAGACTCAGTCCGGAAGCAGGAGAGAAATTAAAAAATCGTTACGTAATGATGCGGGCTGGTACAAGAGAACACGAGAAAGATTCTGAAAAGAGACTATCGATACCTATAACAGTCCGGCAGCTCGAAGCTGTTATACGAATCTCCGAAGCCCTGGCCAAAATGCAGCTACAACCCTTCGCTACTGAACTTCACATTAACGAAGCTTTAAGGCTCTTCCAAGTGTCTACATTAGAGGCCGCAATGTCTGGATCATTAGCAGGTACGCTGAAGATTGATAATTGTGTAAATATATTAAAATTTGCCAAATAGATATCGTTTTATCTTCTTTGGACTGCATATTCTTGATCGCATAAAATGCAAAAATTGTATTAAAGATATACACTGCAATATTTTTTATGTATCTCAAGCGTTACATCACATTTGACATACACAGCTAAAGAAACTACCTTGCGTATACGAAGCTTATCAAGTGTATTACAATTTATTATCAGGAGCGGAAGGATTTACTTCGGAAGAGGATCACGAAGTATTGTCTCGCATTGAAAAGCAATTGAAGAACAGATTTCCCATTGGGCATCAGGTATCTGAGCAAAATATAGTGAAGGATTTTCTCAAGCAGTCATTTCCAGAACGTGCTATTTACAAGGTTATACATACGATGATACGCCGTGGCGAGCTTCAGCATCGTTTGCAACGTAAAATGTTGTACAGGTTGCATTGAAGGGTAACGAGAGCTCTCTCGATGTACAATACGTATGACGTATTTCTTGTGCTCGTACGGTGTGTTAATTGTAATTCTTTCTCAACTATTTTCATTACGAACTAATGACTTGTTAATTTGCGATTATAAAAGTTCACTTTTAAACGGATAATGTGGATGATCTTGAATTCTAAAACAGACACAATCGTATGTAAGGACATTTTATATAAAATATATAATTTTTATAAAGGACACTTCTAAGTACATACATTTGCAGCGAAACAACGCCTGTTATCTAACTTACCCTTTAAAAAATAAGAAATTAAAGATTCGTCCACTAGCACCTTTATCCAAGGTACTCAAGACTTTCATATTGTCCTGTGTTAAGGCGAAATCAAATAACTCGATATTCGACTTGATTCTCTCGGGAGACGAGCTCTTGGGGATAATTACAACACCCAGTTGTAACAAGTGACGCAGTACAACTTGTGCCGCTGTCCTGTTATGTTCCGTAGCGACACTTTGAATAATTGGATGATTTAGCAAGTCGGGAAATGCTTCCGAAGTGTAGTTATACTTGGCTTGAAAGTGCGTCTTCGCGGCTGGAGAGCCCAATGGGCTGTAACCCGTTACAACAATATTATGCTTTTTGCACAATTCTCGAATTGGCGTCTGCTGCATGTAAGCGTGTAATTCTACCTAAAAATTTTAAACGTCGTTACATCTTGATTACATTCTATTAGATGACAAAAATTAAATTGTATTCAACAGATAAATTGGCAATTCAGCAATTTGAAGTATAATTGGGCAATTAATATTTTACCTGCAGATTACTCGGCTTAATTTGTGCGTTTTCCCAAATGGTTGAGATCTGCTCTTCGTTAAAGTTGCTTAAACCTATAGATCTGGTACGTCCCAGTTCAACTTGCTTCTCCATCTCCTACAAAACAATCCTGATCTCTCAGAGATCGTCTTTTACATCACAGTGACGCGTTACACAATTCTGTAATGTGATTCCCATACTTTCCACACCGAGACTGGATCTGTATCAAAGTCGAGTATGTAACTTCCATCCTCGCTCGTCGCTGCGGCGCACGTACTTTCGTCCAACTTAAATGCGAAGGGCATGTGAACGAGATACATGTCCAAGTAATCTAATCCGAGCTTCTCCAACGACAATTTAATGAACTTTTCTACGTCGGATGGTCGATTGCCAAAGTGGGGCAACTAAAAGCATTACAAGATTCTCTATGGTTTGACAGACGCAACTGTGATATTTATATTAAGTAGTAAATTGCGGCAGAGCAATCACTCGCTGTACCAAATTTATAGGTAGTACACAGTACCTTCGTCGTGATAAAAAGTTCTTCTCTAACACCACCTTTCTCAAACCACTTTTTCAGAGCCCTACCAATCGCATCCTCATTGTTATAATTCGCTGCTGTATCAATATGCTTGTAGCCACACTCCAAGGCGGTGCTCACAACAGTTTCGATCTCTTCTGGCTTAGCCTGGAGAAAGTTTCACTTCTCTTTATCAGATTGTTTCGTACAATTGGTAGTAATGATATGAGAAAATATGCTTAACGAGATATGTTACTATTAGTGTCAGAGCGCATCCCTGGTGGAAATATTTCGCTGAAAGAAATTGATGGAGAGTGAGATAAAAGTTACTGAAAAATTTTAAAAAATGAAATACTAAATGTATCTCAGAATGAGTCATAAATTTCTATATGAAATTCAATGTAATACTGTGAAATGTGTGTGTGTGTATGTAAAGAAAGTTATAAAGTGATTCAAAAAATTACGAAATACGAGATATGAAACTTACAGAATTTATTTTTCAATGAAAGTGATTTTTTACTCAAGTTTTACTGAAATATTGATGAAGTGATCATGAAACGGGGTCAACTGAGAGAGACATTCAGAGATGCACCTCGGTACAATCTCGTGATGTTTTCAGTAAAACATTTCCACTGCGGATTCTAAAATTATTTCATCACCTGCCACGTTCCCAGCCCCACTGTGGGCATGTCATATCCTGACAATAGCCGTACGGAATTCATTCTAGATTCTCATCAATATTGCATTACAATGAACGCAGCACAGCTGTTATGTTGAACATGTTAAGGCAGCATTGTCATTTGCAAGTGGTCTCAGCTACTCAAATTCGCAATACCGTTTTAATTTCAAATCAGACTTTGATAGTACGAGATGCGGTGGACGATGCACTTGGACAGGCCGTTTCTAAAGTTAGAATAGCTGCACACTAGCGAACACGCGAGCCTCTAAGGTCGCCGCGCATCGTAATCAGAGCCGTATATATCGTTTCAAAGTCGTATTGATTCGAGGAGGAGAGGGTTGCGCCCACGGATAGCGAGAACGTGTGCTATTTCGAGAGGGAATAAAATTGAAAAGGGCACCGTCGCGATGGACAACACCTGAAATTTATACTGAAATATGCAACTGGCCTCTGTACTACTAGAATTTAGATAATTCGAGACACCAGCTTACGTGAGCGCGTCTCCTGCCGTGTCCACGTGTCGCGCGTTATAAATATCGTTCAACATTCAAGATTTGTCTCCCCACGTTTGACATTCTATCTCGAAACAATAAACTAAAAACAAACGACACCGTGAAATTGACCATTGAAAATGTGAACATAAAAAAAAGGTATATGTAAATATAACACGTTTGTAAAACAGAAAGCAGGCCGCGATATAATTGCACTCGTGCAAATCAAGCGGGTGAAATTTCGAGAAAGAAATACTTTCGCGCCACAAGTGTAATCTTCGATTTTACTTTTGCATGTAAACAAAAGCGTATATCTTAAAGAAATAAATTCATGTCGCGCGTGCGAATTTTATGTATATATATTTTTAATTTCGCAATAAAGATTGAAGCAATTATAAACACGTTTGATTTACATCAGTTTTGTATCGAAATCCATTTTAGAGTATTGGGCCCTATACATAAATTTGGGAGTAAAAATTAGTTCGGTCCATTTTCAAAAGATGATTCCGGCTGTTACGAATGGTTCATAGCGACAGCCGAGTTTGGCGGTTTCAGAGAAGTTAGACTGCCAATAATATTCAGTTTATATCGCTTTGAGTTTCATTCAAAAACCTTGTTTTTTTCAGTGTTAAAAATGTCGAATTTTGTGTTGACCAAGCGGCACTTGCGGGAGGTTTTAATTTTCTGCTTTAATTGGAAGAAAAGTGCAGCAGAAGCCCATCGAATGCTTGTCGAAGCTTATGGTGACGCTGCTCCAACTGATAAATCATGTAGGGAATGGTTTCGACGTTTCAAGGATGGAGATTTCAGTGTCGAAGACAAGGCTCGCTCTGGACAGCCAAAAAAATTCGAGGACAAAGAATTGGAGGCATTACTCGAAGGAGATCAGAGTCAAACGCAAGAGGAGCTTGCAGAATCATTGGGAGTGACTCAACAAGCCGTTTCCGTACGACTGAGAGCCATGGGAATGATTCAAAAACAAGGAAATTGGGTGCCCCGGAACTGAAACCGAGTGACATTGAAAGGCGATTTTTCACCTGCGAGCAGCTGATTCAAAGGCAACAAAGAAAAGGTTTTTTTTGCATCGTCAATCGTTGCCATCGACCTAAACATCAACACCAAAGCCGAACGTATGTACATGGTTCGAAGATCATGCTCTGTATCTGGTGGGACCAAAAGGATGCCGTTTACTATAAGCCGCTGAAACCTGGCGATTCCATTACGGGCGCTCGGTATCGGCTACAATTGATTCGTTTGGGCCGTGCATTGCGAGAAAAACGGCCGGAATACGAGCAAAGGCATAACAAAGTTATTCTTCTTCATGACAACGCTCGGCCTCGTGTTGCAAAAGTCGTAAAAAAATATTTGGAAACGCTCAAATGGCAGGTCGATTTGGCAGGTCACCGGTTCACTTCTTTCGTAGAAATCGAAAATTGGTTCCAAACTTGGATCGCCTCAAAAGACGAGTCGTTTTTTTTTCGAGATGGAATTCGAAAATTGCCTGAGAGATGGGAAAAAGTAGTAGCCAGCGATGGACAATACTTCAATTGATCTGTTCATTCATTTTGTTTTGAAATAAATGCATTTTTGAACACAAAAAACGGACCGAACTAATTTGTACACCCAAGGGGTGTATACTTTATAGGGGCTATACGTATATAATAGACTATAAGGGCTATTTATGTCTTTGATTTCATTTTTTGTATTAAATGTTGATATTTAAAAATATAGAATGCGGTACAAAAATGCTAAGTATCTAAATGTATGTTTTGTACATTGTGTGACAATCTAGATTAACATACATCTCATTCATCATCATTGATTTTACACAATTGTTACGAAAATATATTCTTCGGCTTCGACAATATCACTTATATTAAAGTCATGTGTTTACTGTCTGTCAAACTGTAAAGTATCTCTACAGGCTTGGACTTCTCATTCCGCAATTCCCTCATTTCCTCGCATATTTGCTTGATATATTTCTTGTGCCGTGGATGTCTATAAAAGCGATATAATTAATATTATTGATATAATTTATTCATTATTTTTACGTAACATGTTAAAAACATTGGAAAATATATATATAGTTTTTTCGTGATACGTACTTATTTATTACAATCTGAATACTTTTTTGAAAGGTTTGTTCCTCCTCGTCAATTTCCAGAAAACTGATGATCGTTCTTATAACAGACATTTCCAGAAAGACTGCGAAGATTTCGACAGGAACTTTATGCGATATTCTTTGCAAATAGGACGACGTTTGCGCCAATATGGTATTCTTGTAACTTCTCCTGCCACTTCCGGACACTTTGTCTCGTTCCGAGAGAACGAAATTGATGTTGATGTTAACCGGATTGCTGGACGCTACCGGTATATCATTATTCGCGCTTAATTTACTCTCGGACCTGTTCAGGATCGGCAACGCGGCTTCCGACTGTCGTTGCAAGTACTCAACGATATCCTGCGTAGTATTCCATTTCTTCTCGTGAAATCGGTCTCTCTCCCACGTTTGCACCCTTAAAGTACCATTTCTTAATAATACTATGTGACTTATAGAATTCTCTTGGCAGTACTCTAATATCTCTTCCATAGTGCCTAGATCCAGGATCGTGACCTTCAATCCCAATGACCAAATCTCTCGTAACACGTTAATCATATTATTTTCTTTTCTTCCCTCGCTTCCTGGACCACCCTCGCAGCACACAGCCACGTCGATGCCGCATTTACTTTCGCCACTTTCGCACGCCTCTGCGACAGCGGATACTAATTTGTCCAATGATATGCTGATACCAGCGCCGTATTGTTTCGTCTCCTTGCTAGCCATCCCGGTGCGCTCCAGCACTTTTCTGAACGACACCAGCATTTTATCGTATCGCCCACCCGCGGCTATAACATCTTGGCCGCCTCGTCTCCGTCTATGCTTCAACTCGCAAGTTATCTGATATATCACACCACTGTATTGTTGTACGTTGTATGTTAATAAAGGTACGACAGTAATAGGCCACTGTAACAAAATAGAAGAGGAAAAAAGCATGCTTATGTGTGCGAGTGTGAACATTTCAATTATGTATATCAATGTACATTATAATATTACCTTGACACCCAAACCTTCTACATTTGATATTACAGTCTCTATGTCCTTCAAGCCTTCCTTGGCTAGACCAGCGGCATCTCCTTTCCTCTTCGTTATTGTCTTCAAGACACTGGCGATTTTTGCAACGGAGCTTTCCGTCTCAAGCAAATTGAAAAGCGTTTCCATAGCCTGATCGGTTAGGCATAAGCTTATCAGGTGCGTTTGGACCTGGAACCTGGTTAACTTCCCATCGCGGGCATCCTGCAGGATGGAATATATGTCCTGATACTTGTCCTTTTCCACGCCGCAGTACATTAGCACAGCTTGCAGTAGCGACGTGTGATTTAGGCGCACTGTGAAATTATGTTCCCGGATTTGCGGCAACTCGTTAAAAATCTCCCATATGATGAAGATCAGTTCAGTCTCTGTCATTAAATTATTATCTACATGACCAATGATGTCGAAAGCGCATTCGTACAATTCCCTCGGGTGAAATCCTCGTGCCTGCAGTAATTTGATACAAACGGATATTAATTCACAATCGTGTGCAAGATATCATTCGCGTTCCGTCACTTTTATTCGTGGATACAATATATTTCGTACGATAATCTTATTTCGGATTAAATTTTAAAAAGTGACTCTTTGAATTTACTCGATGTGTCGCACACAAACCTTTTTATCTCTGAAGACACGTTCAGTAGCGTATCTTCGAATATGCGAAATATTATTCCACACAACGTATCGAGCGAAAGGGGTGCGAAGATCGTGAGGTATAGAAACTATACTGCCGGTGCGGGTCATCAATTTCACGCTCGACTCGGTGAAGTTAGAATGCTGAATTGACTTGGGCATTAACAGCGGGGTCGCGAGGTATATTCCGCCGTGCTTTTGAAATATCTCAACGATTTTTTGTTTCACGCTCTCCCGCAGGCACTCCTTCGTTGAGGAGAGGACACTTGGCGTTCCCCTAGTGGGTAAATTCATGTCATAAGTAATATCTTCTGCCGGCGTAACATCCTGCGTGAAACACGACGCCACTAAATATCTGTATGCTTTACTTTGGCTATTGGACAACGTGTGGCGCATCACTTCTTGCAATTCCGTCTCTTCCAACGGCGGTGGCAAGTACACGGAAGAGAGTAATTCCTGAGCGGTGGGACGTTGACTCGGATCGTAATTCAGCAACCAACTAGCGAGGACAAAGAGTTCAATTCCACAACTGCTTTGTATAACTTGAAATAATATCAACTGACAATCGTTCCTCTTTACCGTATAATATGAACTTGAGACATGTCTGCTTCTAGTATGTCGGGAGGGAAGACGATTTCTTTCGAGCGCAAGTTCAAGAGAATCTTGACGCGCTCCATCCCAGTGGTTAGCGGCTTGTACGTCATTTCGAAGAAGATGATTCCCAGACTGTAGATGTCTACCTTTTGATTATAAATTGCTTTGGCAGTTTTCGCAGAGAGCTCAGGAGCTACGTATAAGGCTGTGCCAACCTGGCCAGTGAGAGATCCCAATTCTTCTACGTCAAAACTCCCACCTAAATATAAAGAATTACAAGATAAATCAGGGACTCCGGTATTAAAATTAGAAAAAAAAGATACAAAGGCAATGAGAGCTAGTCACTAGATATTAGGTGACATCAAGTACTTAAAATAAGAAAGTCAAAGAGAAATAAAATATTATAAATTAATAACATCTTGTGTACATTTCCTATTTTTATTTACTAAACTTTACATTACTTACTGAAGAGGGTCGTATACAATAACCGAAACGTTTAATCTTTAAATGCATGTTAATTTACTATTTTTTTCTTTGACTTTCTTATTTTAAATACTTGATACCACTTGTGGCGATCGTGGCGCAGAGGATTGTGCGCTGGTCTGGTAATCCGAAGACCTGGGTTCAAAACCAAACAAAACATTGTTGGTTTTTTGTTCGATCGCCACATAGAGAAGTGGATGTAGAGAGAGAGGTGTTACAAGAGGTTTGGGCACTCCTTCAAAAACGCCTTGTAACCCTAAGGGGAATCAATAAAATGTATCTACTTGATACCACTTTAATATCTAGTGACTGGCTCTCATTACTTTCATAACTTATTTTTTTCCAATTTGAATATAAAAAGGCTAATTTGTCATTGATGTACAGTGCCGACCAAGAATTATGTCAACTTTAGGTTCTCTGAGCATTACTTTCGTCAAAGTGTACAGAGTGTGTTCAAAATTTTACAGCAGACACCTGATAACAGATGCATCTTGTACATGAAAGATGAGATTTGACAAAATACACCGTGGTTCTCGAATTTTTCCTTCGTGCACTTTAAAACTACAATAGATGTGCTCGAAAAATCAAAAGGTGATACAATTTTGGCCGGTACTGTATGTACACGTGGTATAACTGCGTTTATTCACTACCTTTCTCAAATTGAGACTCCTTGTCGGTGTCGATGGTCGGAACAAACGACGACAATATATTGGTCGTGGCTAATCCAAAATCTCCTATCTTGACATGGTCGTTACTGTCGAGGAAGATGTTTACAGGCTTCAAATCTCTGTGTATCATACCCTGCTGGTGAATGTGCGCCAGACCTTCTACGATTTCGCGAAACAGCCTCCAGTAACGTTCCTCATCCTCGTACAAACCATTATCTATGGCAGTTCTCAATGTGCTCTTCTCGCAAAACTCCATTTGTATGTACATAAATTGTATCTCCTTCACAGTCACGTCTTCGCTAAAGGTTTCGGTATTTTTAGCATCGTTGTTCGAAACGTCCAATGTCGCTGCAGATTTTTGCGACACGCCATCTCTTTCAAATTCAATGCTATCGGACGATTCGATACGCAGTAGAGTTCGGATTCTGTACAGGAAAAAAATTTAGATTAGCTCTTTAACGGCGAGTTTTTCTTCATACTTTTTACAAATACAAGATCGCCTTACAGAACAATAATAAGTTGAATAAAAATATAAAATATTACAAAACGTCTAACATTTGGAAGAAAATTATCTTACGATAGAAACGCGCAGTGTTCTTCGCTGTCAGTCGAGGCATCACTGTTCTCATCGTCACTGTGAGCCGCATTCGCCCTAGATTCGTACGATATATTCCACTCGACGTCGCGTAAAGGTGGAGCAAATTTTTCTATCTCGTCGCTTTCCGCTTGCTAAAATTTACGTCATGCGTTTATACAAAAGTCTGAATCTCTATTATACAGGGTGTCAGATTCGATTTGGACGACTCCAAAGATTATAGTAGATTGGGTAAAG